TAAACTGCCGAAAGCACTTGCTTACAAAATTTATATAGATTATGTTAGAAAGAAGTACTATTTAAAATATAAAAACATATTATATATTTATCTATCTATACTATCAAAACGAAGTTATGAGTTATTTCATGTATAGTTTTTTTATTTGGACCATTCTTTAAAATAGTTATCAAATTTTACATAATTTAATTATAATATCACCGCATATCTTTATTTTTATTTTGAAATACTAATGTTTTTGTTTAAGAAATTATAATTTATCTAGATAGCACTATATATTACTAAAACCTAAATAAAAAACTATATACTAGAGTTTGACCCACACAGATTTTTTATTTTATAAATATAAAAATTTTGATAGTATTATAAAAATTGAATATATGATTTACATTTAATGTTATATATTATATAACTCTATAATTTTGTTGTTTAAGTTTATTATTCATCATTATTAATATATAGTAATTTATTTTATATATTTTAATTTATATTTTTATGGATTGTTACTACTTACTAATATATTGTTAATTTTGATACACAAATTATAATCTGAAATAATCAAATATATAATCTTTTTTAATATAGAATTTTAGTTTATGTAATTTGCATACAATACATTTTAACATTTGTTTAGATATACTATAGATAAACATTTGTTAATGATAATTTATGTTTTCATGTTGTGTTTAAAAATGATACTTAACATCTATCATTTTAGTATTTTGTGAGAATTTATAAATAAATATATTATTATTTATTGATAATTTCTTTATAAATTATAAATAAAAAGAAAACTCGCACGGTTGTGCGGGTCAAGATCTAGTATGTTAATTAATCATCGAGAAGTAGTCAACACACCTAAGTTGGTAAATAAATAAAATATTTATTGTAAAAGTATTTTAGAAATTTAACTAAAACAATATATATTGACTAATTATATAAAACAACATATGCAATTAATTTTCATGATATTCAATTAGCTTGAGAAAATGATAAACATCTTCAAACATCTATTACATAGCTATATACATATAAACTAAAATAATGGACTTATATATATATATATAATAAACTAATAAATAAATTTTTATGATAACATACGTCAACCACAGTAAATTATGTAACCAAGGAAAACGGTCATTTCATACTTACACTGCAACATTAGCATCGAAACATTATAACAAATATATCTTATATAAAATTAAAATTAGATGGAAAAGCAAGAAATCAGAAGACCGTGAATCCCTCCTTTTTAGTCACGGAATATTTAGGGTTTATTTATAAATGTTTAAGTGTTTACACTACCCGCTCGAGACCTCGAGTATAAAAGCGTATTTGCAAATAATATTCTTCTGTCGAATATCTATCCATGTTCATTAATTTCTATCAACAGATTTTCGAATCACTTTAACAAAATGAAAAGCTTATCAAATAAAAAAGAAGCTACATGGGAATATAAGGACGTAAACATGAATTCGATGCAATTAATCAATAAAATTGGAATCCGAAGATTGGTCTAAGCGAGGCCTCCAATGAATAATAATATAAAGTTTATAACCCCCAAATGGAAGGGAAATGGATAAATTAAATCTATTGACTTAGACCGCTTGATCATGTCATTTTATTTTGTCAACTGGATATGTCTACTTTCAGAAGTTATTTAATTTATAGAACACGACAAAAGAAGGTGAGTAGTCCGTAGAACATGTGGAGGAGCAAACCTTATTAGATAGTATTATTGTATTCTTTGACGTCCAGGGACCAGATGTATCATTATACTCAAAATATGCTAAAAAATTTCTGTTTAAATAAACAATATGTTTGCCTATTTTCTTATGATATACTAATGAAATAAATCTGTAATTTGAGATATCGTCTCCAGATTTCTTTTCCATGGGTGTTGGTTTATGTTATAGATTGATCTTTGTGTAGAGTGTAGTTGCATTTTTCACCAACTCCATCATATTTTTGCTGAAGAAGCTTAAGCATACTGCAAAGTAGGTCCTCCATGTCTTAATTATTTATCACGGATGGTAAACAGATAAATTAGCATCCTTATCTTAAACCAGACAATATAATATGCTTTAATACTTTGTGTATAGTTCAAGGTTGTTTGTGACATGTACAGACTCCAGTTATATATTCATAGTTAGCATAGTTTACATCAAAGACCAACAATAACAGGACTATCTAGTTATTTATTTAAGCTATTTATTGAAATACTAAGAATACATATTGTTTTCTATACATTACGTTGGGTTTAACATATAGCTTATTTGTCAAATAACTAAGAAAAAAATATATACTTTGAGAGAGAGAATCGTCAAACAAATCTATATATAGATATTAATACATATTGTGTACGAGGAAGTATGTAATGAATGGTCTCAAATCTGTCAAACAATATATATATATATATATATATATATACGTGAATAAATTAACGGAAACTTCAGTTGGGTACGTATATGAGCATTTCTTTAGACATAGTTTGTTTGCTAAACTTTTCATTAGAAATATATAGTTCCGATCGTGTGTAAACCATAGTTTATATGTCGTTAGCTATAATGATTAACTGACTGTGTTGTTACTTCTATATAAAATTCTTAACACTATCAGTTTTTAATCCATGGTATATTGTTTTATTGGTTGAGATTGTTGATCAGTTTCTTCATGACGCTTGAGTCGATACGTTGTTTTGTTTGATAACTAGTCTCAAATTTTCTCAATATTTTAAATTTCAACCCAAAACATAAACAAGCAAAAATAAAACATTTGGTCAGATGACACACTTGCAACTTTGCTTAAAGCTCGCTGGCCATCTGTTAACGGCAATACTTTTACAGAATTATATTGCTAATATATGATCGACATGTATATATATTAAATATATTGTCTGTCGCAAAGACCAACACAAAGCACTTTTAGAGACAGACTCTTCTTTGATCAAAAAAAAAAAGAGACAGACTCTTCAATGATAAAATTTAAATTTAAAAAAAATAAAAATAAAAAAATAAAAACTGTATACACATACTCTATAGACTGATAAACTTAAAAATAAAAACTGTATACATATACTCTATAGCCTGATAAACTAAATATATAAAGTCCAATGTAATAATCAGTTAACTCACATATTTAGCGTTGATAGAATCATATATGATTATAAAACTATTTGATATTTTTAGTAAAATTTGGGTAGAAGAGCAGACTTTTCAATGCTAATTAATAATTAATGGACGGCTTTTATTTCTTAAATAAATTCCGGGATCCATCGCCACATTAGCACAAGAGGCCGTCACACGTTGTCCGCCGTTGTCAGTCCATCCTTTCCGTTTTTTTCTTTCATCCAAAATTCATTCCAATGAAGAGGTAATAACGTCCAGAGGTAACAACCAAATAAACCTTAAACTACACTAGCAACAATATATAATGCTGACTTAAAATTTAAACTGTAAAAAACTAGATAGAATCATAGAAACTATGCCGAAACAAACCAAAACTAGATCCAACTCGGTTTTCATTGATGTGTTTGTTTAACAGAGAAAGCTGTATAAGAGCATCTCCAAAAGAAACTCTATAACTTCAAATATAGAGTTTTTTGCTCTCCAAAAAGAAACCTCAAAACTTCAAATTTGAAGTTTTTAAGAGTGAAACTCTATATTTAAAGTTTCAATACTCAAAACTCTAAATTTGAAGTTTCATCTTTTTATTGCATTTTGGTCCTTACAATTACAAATAAAAATTAGAATTCATAAATACTTTTTGTTTATTGTTTTAATCCATAAAAAAATTTAAATCTTATAAATATTTCAAATTAAACTTTACCTTTTATAAATTTAAGTTTAAGATGTAAAACTAAACAAATATTTATAATAAATTTTAAAATAGTTACTTGTAGTTTAGTATTTTAAAATATTTTAAAAACAAAATTAGACAACAAAAATGTGGTATTCTATTTGTAATAATCATGTATTTGTATTTATAATTTTATATTTTAGTGTAAGATTTTATTGATTAATATTTTTGTATAATTTATATATATGTGTATGTTATATATCAATGTTTTATGAATTTATATTAACTATGACAAATATAAGGATCAAAATGTAAAATAGAAATAATTTTGAAGTTAAATTTGAAGTTTTTCTTTTGGAGAAGAATACCTTGAAACTTTAAATATAGAGTTTTAGAAACTTTAAAATAGAGAGTCTTTTTTGAGATGCTCTTACAACGTTTTCTTGTTTTAATTTAACAGTTGTTTTAACCAAAGGGCAAGCTAGCAAAAGAGCATAAGAGCGCATGAATCTCCGTCACTTGACCGCATGAATCTCCGCGTTGCTTCCTGTTTGTTTAATGTTTCGCCCTTTATTTTAAACTAATAAAGAACTTGAAGATGTTAACCATAGTTAATCGTTGATAAAGAACACAAAAAACTATAGTTAATTGGTCAACTTTGTTAACTAACTATAGTTTACAATTGATCTAATCTCATCCTCATCCACTTCGTATATGATGCCCCAAACAATACTATATTACAAAATACAAAGTTTCCTACGCGTTATAATAGGGACATACACATTGAATGGTAAACGCAGCTAGCACTTTTTTGTATATGTTTTCTATTTTTCATAAGTTAATGACTCTATGTCTTGGTCCACCGTTGGACTGTCTTCATTTTTAACAGTGTAATTAATCGATTTAAACACATGAATCAAGATCAAACAAATTATATATTTCCCACATTCTTAATTAGAATCTCGATATTGTGCCCAGTACTTTATTATGCGAGAAGGAAGACACACACACTAGTACAATTGTAGATTCTTCAACAACATATATACATTTAACAAAATCTAGAACCGCATTAACGTTTTTGTACATCTCGACAATATAATAAGAGACCTATATACGAGTAACTTTTTTTATACATCTACAACACTACATACAAAAACAAATAAACCTTATAATAATAATAATTGTCTCTTGGGGCCAAGTGTAAAGACTTGGTCTTCTACTTCTTCTTCCCCTTTCTCTACTTCATTTCTAAGCTTTCTATATATTTTCTTCCTACTTTTTATAAATTTTCCGCTTGTCTGCTTATCTTTCACATTATATCTAAACATAGATCATTTGAATCCCTAATTAACCTTTAAAAATCCCTAATCCCCCTTTTAAATTATATACTTTATTTTATTTTTGCCTCTTTGATATTGGCATGGCTGGTCTCAATATGGGCACAACCTCTCGCTACGTCCACAACGTGGACAGCGGCGGTGCCGGCCAGTTCTCCAACGACAACCACCACGAAGATGACGGTGGCGCTGGAGGAAACCACCATCATAACCTTCATAACCATCATCACCAAGGTTTAGATTTAATAGCTTCTAACGACAACTCAGGACTGGGCGGCGGAGGAGGAGGTGGTGGTGGTGGAGGAAGCGGTGACCTCGTGATGCGGCGGCCACGTGGCCGTCCAGCTGGATCGAAGAACAAACCGAAACCTCCCGTGATCGTCACGCGCGAGAGCGCAAACACCCTTAGGGCTCACATTCTCGAAGTCGGAAGTGGCTGCGACGTCTTCGAGTGTATCTCCACTTACGCGCGGCGTAGACAGCGCGGGATTTGCGTTTTGTCCGGAACAGGAACCGTCACTAACGTCAGCATCCGTCAGCCTACAGCTGCCGGAGCCGTTGTGACTTTGAGAGGGACTTTCGAGATTCTTTCACTCTCTGGATCTTTTCTTCCGCCGCCTGCCCCTCCAGGAGCGACGAGTTTGACGATATTCCTCGCCGGAGCTCAGGGACAGGTCGTCGGAGGTAACGTTGTTGGAGAGTTGATGGCAGCGGGGCCGGTGATGGTCATGGCGGCGTCTTTTACTAATGTGGCTTACGAAAGGTTGCCTTTGGACGAGCATGAGGAGCAGTTACAAGTCCAAAGCGGCGGAGGGAATATGTACTCGGAAGCCAACGGCGGTGGCGGAGGCTTGCCGTTCTTCAATGTGCCGATGAGTTTGCCTCATATGGGAGTTGAAAACTGGCAGGGGAATTCCTCCGGCGCCGGTAGGGCTCCGTTTTAGTTACTTTTTACAATAAAAACTTCAATTTGTTTTTCCTCTTTTTCTTTTTTTGATGAATTTGTGAAATTATGATTTTTATTTGTTAAACAATGGTCATGATTGAGCCCACAGTCCATGGTTATTAGTTTTTACTTAGGTCACATGAATTATCTTATATAGTTTTTTACTTGAAAAAGAATTATCTTATATAGTTTCGAAAATTATATTCCACATATTAGTGACTACCTCATAGAGAGACTCGTTTTATGTATGTTGTTGTTTGATTTTTTGGTTATTGTTTAACCCCATATAGTTTCTTTTGTATCACTCACTAGGCCTGGGCGCTTTTATCCCATACTGAACACTCTACCTAAACCTGAACCGAAAAAATTGAAACCGGATCTGAATCGTTATATAAGAATATCCGAATGGAACTTGAGAGTTTGGTACTTTGGAGTATGGATATAACCCGAACCGAACCGAAATGCAAACTTGGATCCGACTATATCCGAAATTAGTGGAATATGTTACTATTTTTGTATATGTTAAAGAAATTAAGATGTTTTAAAATATTTTAAATTTTTAATAATTTATTTTATTTGTTATTTTGAATAACTTTTAACTAATTTTATGTAGTTTGGCTTGTTTTTAGTTAGTTTTGTGAATAATTTCAATATTTTGAGTATTTTTTAACAACTTTTTAAATTTAAAAAAATATTTTTGAACGATTTTATACATTGATTATAACCCGATCCCGAATCGAATTTAGAGGAACCGAACCGAACCCGACCCGATAATTAGTAAAACCTGAATGTGACTTATGCACATGGTACCGAAAATCCGAAAATCAAAATCAACCGAACCGAATCCAATGGGGGCCCGAACGTCCAGGCCTATACACTCACTCAACGGGATTAGCGTTTACAACTTGTATAGAACACAAATCCTATGCACACAAAAACAAAATACATATTCAATAACGACATAGTACTCCACTTTAAAGCACATTTTTATTACATATGTTGACTAACAGTAACAGACACACTTTTGTAACTAAAATCACGAACACATGAAGAAACATAAAAATATGTTTATCAAAAAAAAAAACATAAAAAGATAACAGAAATTGATGTGAAACACTTTAATGTAAGGCTCAAACCCGAGTTGCTGTTTCGGGCGATGGGAAACATATAGTAAGAATTATATATCAGTGAATCAATATGTTCCAGTGTTTTGAATTTACATATTGCAAAACTCTAAGGTAAAATATTAACAATCATTTAGGTCGCTAGGGTTTTCCAAACACACATGATATTTCGGCTTTTCCGAAGTTTGAGGTCACCAATATGTACATAAGAATAAGTTATAAATGACGGAAAATAGTAAACGACAAAGAAGATTAAAGAAATACACTAGTAAAATACAAAGGAAAGTGCAAGTTGAGTGCTAATTAAGAAATCAAATTATTAATATGACCATTTCAATTCCAATAGTGCCCTTAATTGCTCAACCCGTTTGATGCTAAGCTGTCAAACACACAATTATCTAAAGTATTTTCATCACAATTCACAAAACGTTTAATTAATCCCTACGTTTCTTAAAAACATCATTCTAACATGTTTTCTTTCTTTAAAAAGAATCATTCTCCTTTTCAATGCAATTTTTTATACAAAATCTATTTTTTATCTTTTAAACTAAAAAAATATTAGTAGGAGTATCTTTTATCATTTTCTTAATCTACGTAATATTTGTCTAATTGGCGTTTTTATGAAATGGAGTAAGTATTGATCAGCAATAACTACATTATTTACTCGAATTATTACTGCTGATAGCTTGAAGTAAGCAAAATAAAATATTTTATCGATTAAAATCAACACGATTGTAGATTCTATACTTAATAAAGTGTCCATTTGCTGCTATTGTGAACTAAAACAATAAAACATATTGGTATTTTCACTTTGGTGTTTCTATTTAAAAAATAAATAATTATGATTTCAGCCTTATTATTATAAATCCGAAAAAACTTTGACAATATTATTGATGGCTGTGATAATAAAAGTAAAATACTCTTTAATAAATTTTTGACCTAATAATTTAAATAACTTATTTTTCTCTATAATAAAAAGAAATATACAGTTGTTAGATATATACTTCATCCGTTTCATTTTAATTGTCATTCTATGTTTTTGCATACAGATTAAGAAAACATTTAATTTTACATATTTTCAAGATAAAAACACAATTACCTATATATTTAATCACTTTTCAACCAATAGAAAAAATAGAATATTATATAAAACTATTAAATTTTGTCTCGAAATTCTAAAACGATACTTAATTTGTGACAAAAAATAAGTCATAGAATGACAATTATTATGAAACGAAGGGAGTACATCTTAATCGATCGGAGAAGTTATTTTCCACTTTTCCCAAGTTATACGAAGAAGTTAATTGATCATCGGGAAACATTATTCTGAATAGTACTTATTATTTGCTTCAATAAGAAAAGCTTATGATGAAAACAAAGAGCATACAGACTTGTCTTTAAATGGAATTTAAAAATGATTCCTAAAAAATAGGAGATCTTATTGACTGCAAACAACAATTGAAACTCGTCACTTTAAGCCTGAGACTTGCAAATGAACTTGAGCATCAATTTTTCCTCTTCTTTGATCAACTCCAATGTTATTTTCTCCCCTGCATTTACATCATTCGCATTGCAGAAATCTTTCCATTTAGGACTCCTAATACGAGAGTACACGAGGCTCCGATCTTTTTTTACATCAACAGTTATATCATATTCTTCATCATTCTTGTCCACCAAAGTTACTTTCCACTTTTTAGTGAGGTTATTCGCTCTCGTGAAACCTATTGGTATATGCTGAATAAAATATTTATCGTTTAGAAACTTGAAGAATTTCATAAAAAGAAACGGAGATAGAAACTTCGAATTGTCACCTGTTTACCGTCCTCAAGGCTTGCTTCTGTAACAAGCAACGTCACATAGTGACTATCTAACTGCTCATCATCATTCTTACGGTATGAGAGTAGTTTGAACGTAGGGATTTCCTCATTTTGAAGAAGCTTAAATAGACAAATGTCTCCATCTTCAAGCTTATTATTTAAGCAAAAGTCTCTCCAACCATCATATATGGCACTCCCACGTGTCTGGCTGTTATCCTTCTTTAGTTTTGCATAATATACTTCACCTTCTTTGTTCATCAAAACGATCTTCTCAAGATTTTTGTGCAAATCGTTGTCGGTCGTGAATTTCTTTTCCAGTTTCTGTACAAGCCAACAAATTGAATCCGAGATTTAGAATTTATATGCACTCACAAATGTAAAATAAACTTACTAAAATCAATTACAACAAACTAACCACTCTATTTATACCAGCACTCATGTTTGAATGCGTCACTTTAACCTCAAATTCCATGACTAACCGCCGTTGCCACCTGAGAGCAAAGACGTAATATTAAGCGAAGTAGATATCATGATCCGAATCTGTGTCGTCTACAAATTATTTACGTAAAAATACATTTTAAGTTTTTAAATCACATAAACATTATCACATAAACAGTTCCGATCAAAAAAAAAAAAAATCACATAAACAGTATCACATTCTAAAATTCATTATATAAAACGAAAAAAGAACTTACTAAGAGAGGATTGTCTGATTTTTGAAAGAAAAAGATGAACTAATATGTAGTATTTATAGGAAAACTGGAATAATATTATTATTTTTTAAAAATCAAATATGGCATGCATGCCACTTTCCCGAGAAAGCTAACAATGGTGCATGTGACTCGATATACGAAATGGCATGCATTGGACCTCTGATGCTCGTCTTCATTGCAACATAATAACTATTTTGTTAATACTTACGTACAAAGTGTAATTAATATCTCTCAACCGTACAAAGTGTAGAAGAGTGGGCAAAAAAATTCAAACCCAACTGAGTCAAACCAAACCAATCGAACCGAAACCGATTTAAACCAAATCAAACCAAACCAAATTTATTATAATAGTTTGGTTTAAAATTTTCCAATCCAAACCAAACGAACCGAAATCGATCCGAATCAAATTGAATTAAACCAAACCAGAAATCAATGTGTTTTTGTTATTATTTAAATGAAACATATTAGCAATATACAATAGATTAAAATTCTAACACTAAAATTACTTTCACCATTATTAATGGTGTTAGATTTTTAATTTTCTATTTATTCTAGTTAACTTTAATTTGATTGTGTTCTTCTAACCATGCAGTCCGATCCAAACTTAATTCAAATACTCCATCTCTCTTTAAATTTGAGTAGATCTAGTATAGTACCTCCCGATATCTAAAAACGAATCCAATTGGACAAGACTTATTTCTAACATTTAACATATCTGAAAACCGAGCCAAAACAGTATAAGTTACTTGTGATGTAGATGCATTACTACTTATAAAGAAAAAGAATGAAGAAAAATACCAATAAATAGAAGGAAATAGAACCACGACCTTAGTATCAGTACTAGAACTTCTTTTTTCAGTACTAGAATTTACCCATCACAAAAAATACACGTTTTAATGCAACTCTTGAGCATAGAACTCAATGATCTCGACCACATCCATATCCGAAAATGTAGAGGCATCGTTACGAAGATGCCACAACAAGTGCTCAAACAAGAACAAGTCGACATGATCAAGTCATAAAACTCTCCCATTCCTGTTTAAACGGTTCTTGGTACGATCTTTAACCGAACCAATTAAGATTCTAAACGGTGTTTCTTCGAGTACGTACAGTTCGACCATGAACTTTTTCTTCTCTTTCCCTATTACCACCATTATGACCGAATCCTTCATAACTTCGCCTGCCATATTTCGTATGAAAACTGCTGCGAATTAGCCGAGGATAGACGATGGAGTTTCATTACAGGTGATATAAAGCAACCCATTTGAGAAAAGAATAAGAGTTGTCGAGAGATAATGCAATAAGAGCATCTCCAACCCCACTCCATAATTTACTGCAAAATGGAGTAAGGAGATTTTTGTTTCTTCATTACTCTATTCTCCATTCCATTTTGCAGTAAGAACAGTAAACAGAGTTTATAAGAGAATATGAAAACACAAATACACGACGCGGTTTCATTTATAAAGAAACCTTACAGAGACTGGACGGTAAGCTTTGGTACGTGGCGAACTATGTTTGGTTGGTATTGCTGTGATGTAATATGTCAAGAGTTCGACGGCCCACCCACAGACTAACTTTCTTTCTCCATCCACATGTTTCTAGGAAGAAAACGATATTACTCGTATATATGATCATTTTGTAGCGACGTACCAAGAAAAGGAAATTTTCTAACCAATTATACACATCACGCGAACGTTGCATTTATAATCTAACCAAAAAGTATTCATCTTTTCGAAACGAAAATGATATATAACTTGTGAATATCGATTTTCTGAATTCCCAATCGAGTTTTGCATAAAAATACATACAAGTAAGTTTTTTCCAATACTATTTCAAGTTTATTTCCGAGAGAATTACATTATATGATGTATGCATAAAATACAATATCAAAAGCAATCTTAATACTTAGAACAAAAATAACCGAGAAAATTCTAAGTTGTTTATATTATAAAGACACAAACCATACAAATTCTATAGGTAAGCGCTAAACCGCGCTAGCTTTAGATCTTGCCCGGCGGGTAAGCTCGGGTAGGGTAGGTGGAGTGTCCGGGAAGATGGTGGCCGTGAACCTGGGTGTCCGCCGCATGGTCAGCCTTGGATTGGTGAAGCTCGGCCTTGGCCTGCGCCACCTTAGACTTCTCTCGCTCCTTAGCGATCTTCTTCTCATGTGAAGTCCTCGCCATCTTCTTCTCCGCATGACCTTGAGCCTTTGCGCCACAGATGCTGAGCTTCTCCTTGGCCGTGCTGGCCATGTCGCTGATCTTTTCCTTCACCGAATGCATTCTTTTTCTTCAACAAAGCCGTTTTTTCCTTTGCTTGACACCCTTCGGACACCGATTTAACGACTACTAGCGCACGATTAGTCCTGTGGGCTACCGCCACGTCTATTACGTATGTACGTGTCAAGAGTTAGGCATCGTACGTGGACTAGGTGCGTACATAAGCACATGCAAAAGCTATCTACACGACAATTTTTTTTGTTTTCTATTTTACTTAAAAAAAAGGATTATTTGTGAAATAATCAAAAACAAAAACAAGATTAGTTTTGTAAGAGAGTAGAGAGAGATAAGAAAAAAGAGAGGGAGAGAGAATAAGATTTTGGTTAGATTATTAATTTTAGTTTTTTTTTCATAGTTACTGCACCTAATTTCCCTTAATAAAAACTCTGAATGACGGAATTGAAAACTTTTGATAAATTTACAGGACGCACTTGAGCAAGCCATGTAAGACAAGTAGAACAAAACGGTACAAACCAGACTTTATGTGGTGTATCTTTCCTAATTCCTGATAACTTGCGGTGGCTCAGCATACAGTAACTAGCAATCAAATATTGCAAAGTAACTAGCAATCAAATATTGCAAAGACATAAGCTTTAAGATAACAGCTACAGTGACTGGTTTATGAGCTTTAAGATAACAGTTAGAAGAGCTGGTTTATGAAAATCAAACGCTAAGTATCGCAGCTTAATCACGTGTGAAACAATGGTAGTTTGCAGTATAGATGACTAACAAACATTTAAATTTAATTGAATTCGGTTCAACTTGGTTAAACCATATTAATTTCAGTTTTGAAAACATTGCTTACAATAGAAAAAAAATTATATGTTTTAATCATTTTCTTATGAAAAAGAAAATACAAGGAAAAAAAAATTAGAAGTTGGTCTACTAATGGGAGTTCAGAAACAATAATTGTTCACTTTAAACTAAAAAAACTTGTAGTATTACCAATGTGCTTGGTCATCCTTATCATTTTTTTCCTTTGTGATATAACCAGTTTCAAATTAGAAAATAAAATGTTCAAAAGAATATTTATAAGATTTTTCTTTCTTAAAGTTTTTCCCAGGAGGAAAATGTTCTATGTATTACCCCGTTTGGTCACCCCGCTTTCCCCCCTTCTCTCACTTCACCCAAGTCACATACATTTTTTTTTGTTTTTTTCTGCTTTCACCTCTATTCCAATCTCTACCCTATTCTCAACAAAGAAACAAATATACCCCTCCCCCTAGTCTGACAAAAAAACATTCCTACAAACATGAAAAAGAAAAAAAACAAGAAAACTTCCAAAACTAAACAAAGTTTTGCCACTCTTTGGATCTTTTAAGGCATTTTGAATTTCTCTGTTGCTTCAACTTGTAGTTTAAGTGGTCTTAAAGGTATTTCCCTGATGACTTCCAGATCCTACTTCCTCCAAGTGCTATCACTAATACAGTGCAATCATCATGATACTTTCTTCTATCTCCTTGCGGTATATCCAGCAGCTCATGAAACCCCATTCCTGTTTTTTTTAACAAATCATAATCATCAACCACCAAACTCGCAAACCTATTACTATCAGTTAATCATAAAAGTGGAAAGATGTTTTATACATACCAGCTTTCTTGGCTGCGCGGACTAGAAGTTCTTGTATAACATGTTGAGCAGGATCTCCATCTGGAAATTTCTCCATAGCAAGAGAAACAACTTCCTCATTGCTCAGGTATTGGTACAAACCATCAGATGACAGAACCATAAACTGATCACTCTCTGTTAGCCTGTAGTGACGAAGAGATGGTGTGCATGATATGTATGGATCCGTGCCAATGTACTCATTTCTAAACATTTCCAGTAAGGAATCGTTCAATTTAGGCTGCAATATCAAACTTCCACTGTGAGAATTACTGAGTGGTATATATATTTTTGTGAATTTAAACGAATATATAGCCTAACCTGCTTCAAGAACCCTGCTCCAAACGCTCTGGTCACCTTGAGCCGACCTTTCACTCTATCATTCACTATGCATTGATTGTCATCAGGGTGTTCGTTTTTTATTCTTGTAACTTCCTGTGTTCGTTCAACAATGGAAGTTATCATGTGACATGAATATTGCAAGAAGCAGATAAAATCAACGCAACAAAAAGATGGTCAATTCACTACTTACATCTTCGATGCTCGTGCTGTGATCTGTAGTCAGCTGCAACGCAACCAGTTTCATGTTCTCCGAAGGTGTTTCATTGTTCACTATAGTATCTTTATCATCCACAACTGAAGTCTCTTTGTTTCCATCATTCCTTTCTAAATCATTACATCTATCTTCTACTCTTCCTGTCTCAACACTAACACCCGTTTCTTGAACCTGATACTGCGCAACAAGAGCCCTACTATCCCCTATATTCATCACATACACATCATCATCTCTCATCAACGCAACCAATAAGCAAGAACCCATCAACGCAAGCTCAGGGTTCGTCTCCAAAACCTTCTCAGTCATTTCTAAAAAAGCTTGCTCTGTGGCTTCAAGACCATTTGACATCGCCTTTAAGACCAACTCATGATCAACCGCACCCGCCTTTCGCCTCTCCTTCCTCTTCTCCACCGCTTCCTCTACTCTAACGTTACCTACCACCTCCGTTTCATTACCCTCCACACCAAACTTCCGTGGAAATAACTTCCTCCCTGACATCCCTTTTTTAGACAAACCCTGCTTCAATTTCGACAACAGCAACCATCTCTTACTCCCTACAGACACAGCATTGCCTCCTCCACTGATAGCAGCATCATCCACTGAGAATGCAAACCTGTCTGAACCTGAAAGATCCAACGCATCTTCTGCTTGTGCCTCTGCAAGAAGCTCATGTAGCTTTTTCCTCACTTTAACTTCTTCTACCACCTCTGTCGCCGGACAGCTAGAACTTGCTTCCAACTCTATAGCACTACTACCATCATCCACTTCTTCCTCCAGTTCCCAGAATAAGCCCTGTAGCTCACTATGAACAGCACGGTAGAGATTCGCCATCAGAAACTCCGGTGCGTCCGGTCCGTTAAAACCGTCGTAGATTCCGGCGAACAACCACCCTTGCTTCTCGAAAACCGCTAACTGCACTCTATCCTCCCCTGCTTTCCCCAACGCCCACTGTAACTCATTCTCGCTTCCGCCGCAAGCCGCCGCAGTAACGCCGCCGCCGGGTTTCACGGTGTTCTCCCTTTTAGCACCGCCGACGAAGTTCGACACCGGAAGAACCCACGGCCGTGAGAGACTCCTCTTCCTCTTCCGTCTCTTCTTAGAGAAAACGCCGCCGCCGCCGCCGAGCGGCGCCGAGAAATGCACGGCGGAATCGGATCTCGAAATATCTCCGGGAAGGTCCAATGGGCCTGAAGTGGCGCCTCTCTCGATGGGCCCAGACATGAAGAGACCTGTACGCTCCACGTGACCACTCAACGGCACGGTCTGTAGCGGGAGGGCGCTAAACGACGACGTTCCTTCGAAGCCGTTAGCGTTCACTACACTGCTCCTAACGCCGTCGCCGAAAGTGTTGACAGTGGCATCGTCGTAATTATCTTCAAGTTGAAAGACTGTTTTGGAATTCGAGGCGTTGGCGCTAACCGAGGCGCCGGAGATGGCTCTGAACCCGGTTTGGAGCTGGTCGGATGATCCGTGGGATCGGATCCGACCCGGAGATAACCGGAAGGAACCGGTGGGGGAGGTGAATCGATCGGAAGGGAAGGGAGAGAGGAAGCGGTTAGAGGATGGGACGTAGCAGTAAGAGTGGCCAAGAGTCTCATCCAACGGCTCAGAGAGAGAGTTGATCTGATCAGAGTGAGTTGGATTCTGCGATGAGTGACGGTTACGGTGAGATTGATTGAAGCAAGGTAAGACGGAGGAGAAGCTACTTCCCATCACATTTGAATTTTGATTACAACACAATTTTGTTTTTTCTTTTTCAATTTGCCAAGAGTGAAAAAACAACAAGAATTTTTTTTTATCGGCGATTTTGAATTTGAGAGAGAGAGAGAGAGAGACTTGTTGTTGTGTCTTTTTCTTTCTGATTTAAATATGTTTTCCTTTTTTGAGCTGAGGCGACTTTAGTGGTTTTGAATTAGCGGAAACAATTGACTCTTTTTTGCTGGGGTGATTACGTAAATACCACCAACATTCTCTTTTTATTACAAAACCACCTTTGTAATATTCTTAACTCTTTTGAATTTGAGCATCTCCAACCCCACTCCATATTTTACTGCAAAATGAAGTGGGAAATGGAGTAATGAAGAAATAAAAATCTCATTACTCCATATCTGGAGTAATCACTTTTTTGTTTCTTCATCACTCTATTTCCCACTCCATTTTACAGTAAATGATGGAGTGGGGTTGGAGATGCTCTGAACACAATTATGAATGAATTCTCTATACTAATATCTCATAAGTCCCAACACAAGATAAAGTAAATGGATATTTCAATGTGTAAAATACTTTTGAAAAACTCATTGATAAGGTTGATGAGATGTTTATGTTGAGAACTCATGGATATGGTTGCGCTAAGGCTACCATTAATGCGATAGTTATGGGAGTTTCTTAATTAAATTTGAGTTGAGCCCCACCAAAAAGCATAAGAAATGGTTTCAAAAGGTAAGAAATAAGAAAGGTTTTTGAGATATTTCTTACACTGTTCGCGAGTACCATTGACACGTGACGATTTGCGATTAATTTGTTTTTTATTTTTTTTTAGACAAATTTTTTTTTTAGAGAAATCATGCCTTGAGTTTCAACGATAATCATATCCTAAAAATCTAATGAAAGGTTCTAATTTTTAGGTTTTTAAAATACATACTATAGTTATATGTATATATTAATATTAATATTTGATTATAGAGTTTTTAAATTTAACAGAAATGCAGTACAAAAAATATTTGTAGAGATATTTTGGATTAGATTTTCCATAAAATTAAGTATTTTATAATTAAATACTAATATTAATATATATACACACATATATGTTTTTTAAGAATTTTGGAACTAGACCCAATAAAAATACTTTAGATTTTGACAAGAATATTTTAAAATAATATAAACAAAACAATTTGTTCGGATATCATTAGAAATTATCAAATTAGTGATATTCGAACATGAAAAAAAATATAAAATGCATTCCTTAAAAAGGAAACACAGCAACAAATTTTATTTCTATGGGATATATTCAAAACAAAGTTTGAGAAGATTTGATTGTCTTTGATAAATTTTTCTTTTATTTTAATAAAGTTTTAAATAATCTATGTGAATCTAAGAGTCTAAAGTGATTTTTGTTAAAACATTCTAGAATACATCTAAAATCATGGGATTTGAATTTTCTTTTATATTACACCAAACACTCTAAAATCACTAAAAAAATTAAATTACATAACTTAAAATATTTTTAATAATAGTGGATTTTAGAATTTTTATAAAATATTTCAATAATAATGTATCTAAAAGAATTTTTAGAATTAATGTTTAAATAATAGTAAATTTGTCATTTTGGTACAAATCGTTTAAAACTTTCGTTTCAAAACACCTTGAGTAGACTTTCTTTTATTGTTTTCATTATTTTTTTATCTTTTTCAGTTGACATTCTTTCATAAATCAAAGTGTCAAGATTATAAATTATTTTGACTTTATAATCAACTTGCTATAATCAGAATAACTCAATATGCTCACGTTATTCTTTTCTTTAGTTCAGGAGAAGTCAGGTTATAAAGTACTGAACTAATAATTTCTTGGAGCTTTAGATATAGGATATAGTTTTACAGAACGAAAAAACTAATCCGAAGAAAAGAATCTCCTTTGGAACTATTCGTTACTTTTATATTGGGTCATAGAGAAAAAAGAAAAAGAAAAGGCAAAGGGTCAAAATGGGGAGACCGAGGCTCGGGTTTAAAGAATTCTTGCATAAGGAAGCCTTTTGTCATATGCTTTGTTATCGCTCATCGGCCTCTGGGACAATCAGTATTCGCATTTATGCCCTTCTGTTTTTACTTTTCAATCCACCAAAAAGCAAATAACAAAAATAATCAAATACCATTTGATTTATGCTGCAACATAATGTAAAAAGAGTTGTATATTATGTTTGCATCACCGATACAATTTTATACGATATGTGGGATGCGTATTTTGGCATTTGATTTTTAAAGTAATTATAAAGTAGTTATATCATATCTAACATAATTAAAATTTGATTAGAATGCACCTCAAAATAAACAAATAATAACAAGCTGTGCAAATTTATATACATTCGGGTTTTCTTTGGTATACATTCCTCTTGATAGATATGGTGATTACATATATGCATTCTCTTTTAAATAATTATGACGGGTATTTCTCAAAAAAATAATTATGCCGTGTACCACATTGCACGAAAAATTGCATGTTTTCATGCGAAAAAATCAATTCCGTCTATTCATGTTGGGTTATGATTATAGCCAGACTATCATGATTTTCTAAATATAACTTATGTTAATTAAAGCCCTTTATCAAAAAAAAAAAAAAAAAAACTTCTGTTAATTAGAAGAAAATTAGTCGTAATAATGGGTAACTAATTACGATTAAGCGATGGGGGTCCATGGAGGAGAGGATCAAAGAACAATAGTCAACGAGGTGTTGACAAGTGGAACCCACCTTAGACTCCTTCTCTGCAACGACGTCATACTTGTCGGATTCCCTTTCCCGCTAAGACTTCTTGTCTTGTCCCCCTTTCATTTTAAATTGTCCTTTTTCTTTATTACTTTAAGTTCATCAAGATTTTCAGACTTTTGTTCAAATTTAGGTTACAGATATTCAAACCTATCCATGATTTTGGAGAATAATATTAATTTTAGAATACTTGAAATAATTAATCATATTTTTCCTAGTTTGTTAAACTCTTTAAACGTTTGCATATTTTACGGACGAGCGTTTTCAATCTTTGTATATAAACTATTTTGTAGATAACCGAGAAGTTTGACTTTTCCAAAAACGTTAGTTGCGTGCCGTCAAGAATTGGCAAAGTCACTACTCCAACTACTACTCACTATTCAGAAGTCACAGCCAAGAAAACCCTTTACAAACGCTTATCATCCAGGAAAATGCAATTCTAAAACGCGTTTATTTTAGATGTATATTAAAGGGCATGACTTCCGGTAAAAAAAAAAAGGGCATGACTTTTGCACAATTTTAATAATTAAATTCTAATTCCTACTTCATATACTTTCCGAGTTAATTTGTATTTCTTTGGATTTGTAAGGCAGAGACATTGTCAAAATGTGAAAAAGCGTCAGCTACCCAGTGAACCACTAGAAAAAAAAAAACAAATCTGGTCACAGAATTTATTCACACCCAAGGGTTAAGCTGGGCGGGACCTAAGTTGACCTAAAACTTATTTTCACACACACAATAATAACAATATAACGATGTATAATTTCATACATATTTTTAAAAATATATAAATGTAATATTAATCAACATTCCGGTACATCACTAACCACACATCATGGAATTTTAGAGATTAGGATCTAGAACGATGACATTGATAAAAAAATATGCAGGTAAACTGATAATATTTCAAGCAAATCAAATATAGATCAAACCGATAATACATATCAAATATAGATATATAAAAAAATTATACCACAAAATACAGTATCAAATAAATTTACTAAATCATCATACTGGATTAATGTAAAAATAATAATAATTAATTAAATATTTAAACTAAAAGTATAAGCACATTTGAATTCACTATACTAAGTTATACAAATATTACGAATAACAATTTATAAACAAGTAATAGTTATTTTAGTAATATTCCTTATTATAAAAAGTATAATATATGTGTTTTTCTATCAATGTAAATATTATAATGATTTTTTAGGAAAGCAACAAAAAGAAAAGATGATACAATACTAACATATATGGCTAGTTATTTTAAAGAATATATAAAATTATGGGTATATTAAATATATAAGTTAATGTAAGTGTTTTCGTATAAGATATTTATATTCTCTAAAATAAATTATTTCATAAAACGAAAATATTATTTTTAAATTAAAATTAGTTTGTTTGGTTTGAAAATGAACAACATTAATTAATAAAGCATAATATTTATCAATTATTAATACAAAAATAATTAACTTTATATTCATTGGCCATATGCAAATGTACAGCCCATTTTCTTTTTCTATTATAATAATTTAACATTGGAATTGATCTACATGTAGATTTTTTCTTTGTTAAGTTTTTTCTTTTTGATCTGCATCTAAAATGATGAATGTGAAATAAATTTCTAACAGCATTATAAGTGGACTACTTTTGTTCTGTACTTTGATTTAAACCCTTCGATCTCATGTTCAGCAGTAAGCAAGTACTATCGTACTTTGTCACATGTCTCAATCTGATGAGACAAAACACTGATCTCTAGTAGTACACTAGTACTAAAAGCAATCGCCGTGTATGCAATTCTGCATCATATCAGGCCTGCTCGTGAGTTCAAGAGGTGCACATTTACGCGAAGCTTATGGTGGCAACGCAATTCCTATACCTAACTGTCCCAGTTTACTTTGATCATCATTACTAGAATTGTGGATGGTTCTTAGAAGCAAGGTGGATTTAATTGAGGTGAACTTAGGATAATTGTAGAGATATGATGTCTGTCTCTAAATAAAGGAGCTGAAAACAATACAATTGATGAAGCTTACTGTATCCTACGTTAAAAGGCCACTTGACTAACTAATGCATTTTTCTTGATCTTGAAACAAAACAATATTGAAGGTACAAATTTACAAGACGTGAACTTGTGGGCATCAGTTAATCATATAGATAGCATCAAGAAGATTCAGACGCAAATTACCCATGAAATATAATTTCATCACATGCACAGAGCCTCATTAAGACAAACTCAAAAGATTTTGAGCAAAATATTCAAACAACCAACATTAATAAATTGGAATTGTTTTCATACCCGGCCGTATCAAAACTAATTTACTGAAGAATTTAAAGTGAAATCTTTGAATCTGAGAATCAGTTCTCCAAGGTGAATAAACATCAATATAATATCAGTCGCAAATTACCCATTTGTTTTATGAGATTCATCCTCTTCCCAGATTCAACTTTTTTACGTAAACAAAAATCAAACACTAGAAGGAAAAATTCGAAAAAAAATATTAAAGGCAGAGTCGATCAGAACCTGTCGAGATATCACAATAACATCACTATATGTTTCAGGGGATTGACAGACTTGTGAATTTTCTATCGTCACCTCGACTCGTAAAACCATAAAATAAGTTAAAAGATTTGGAAAAAGCTCAGAACTTCTTAGAGGGATGTGTTTAGCCGTCAGCGATGAAGAACACAGCCAACATCTCTGGCACACGATTTTATTCATCATAGCAGATAAATTAAACTCGTGTATGCATAAAATCAAGAACAGACCAAATAGACAATCGAAAACATTATCAATGACATGGAACACAATCGGCTTCCGTTACTATTCTCTTTTCAAGTTGATTGTCTATATATAAAAATCAGTTTAGACGGAACTGGTAGAAGACGCCCTAATTATCTGGGCCTTTATTGGGCCTTTCAGATACACAGATTTATTATTTTATGGGCCTCTTTATACACTTAGACATCACTGTGGGAATGAAATTTATTGCAGTTAACTCCTCAGGCCATATGCATATCGCTTCGGAAACCGAATTCGGTAGATCCGGTTCAGAGTTGGTTATTCAAAAAAAAAAACCAAACCGGTACAAAAAAATCATCCTTTTGTTTCGGTCTAATCTAATCCATTTCTCTGTTCTGCAAGAGGTAACAATGGCGGTTCTCGAAGCTGCTCTCTCCATCCTCTCCTTCTCTTCTTCTTCCTCCTCCTCATCCTCAAAACCTTATCTCTTCACTAAACGCTCTAAACCCAACTCCGTAACTCTTCGAATCCCAACTAACCTCTCTCTCAGTCTCCCTCTTCGTACCTCTGGCTCTAACTCTCGGCGACTCGTATTCTCCTCCGTCACAGAGGAAGAAACTTCCTTTACATCGGAGAAACCCGAAGAAACCCAGAAGTCGAATCTAAAAAGGAAACTCTTTGTATTCAACCTCCCTTGGTCCATGAGCGTAAACGACATCTCCAACCTTTTCGGACAATGCGGAACTGTCACCAGCGTCGAGGTTTTCTTGTTTTTTTCTGTTTCTTGAAAACTCATTACAAAGTTCTGTTTCTTTGTTTATTAAAAAGTTTGAAACTTTATCAGATCATAAAGCAAAAAGATGGAAAGAACAGAGGTTTTGCTTTCGTGACAATGTCTTCCGGTGAAGAAGCTCAATCCGCTGTTGAAAAGTTCGATTCGTTCGTAAGTTTTATATCAAATGTTATTATGTTCTGTCTTTTAGTTTTGATTAATATGTTTTCTTTGTTTTTTATCAGCAAGTTTCAGGGAGGATTATTAGGGTAAGCTTTGCGAGAAGGTTTAAGAAGCCTACTGTGAAACCTCCTAACGCTGTTAATCCTTCTGCTTCCCCTGGAGAAACACGTCACAAACTCTATGTTTCTAACCTCGCTTGGAAAGCAAGATCAACTCATCTCCGTGAGTTCTTCACTGCTGCTGACTTCAACTTGGTTTCAGCTCGTGTTGTTTTCGCAGACCCTGGAGGTAGAGCTTCAGGTTATGGCTTTGTCTCGTTCCCTACTAGAGAAGAAGCTGAGGATGCAATCTCTAAACTTGACGGGAAGGTAATCAAAAAGTTTACTATATTTCTCGTAAGCAGTGTTGAAGAAATTGCTAGACTGTGGTTAGATAGTTTAGGCAGGAACCTAGGAGAATTGTTTGAAAAAGTAAATCGTTATGGAAATTTTTATTTCATTTAGACCCAATTTGGACGCCTAGACAGATAAGGATGTTGAGAGTTCATTACTGTTTTGTTTACCTGTAGGAGCTAATGGGCAGACCTATCAGTCTAAAGTTTAGTTTGAGAACCGCTGGTGAATCTGAAGATAGTAACACAGTAGAAGACAACAATAGTTCTGAAGAAGAATCTGAAGATGTTGGTGAAACAATAGAAGAAAAACCTGTGGAATGATGATGACTCTTTATTGTTTCTCAGTTTATTCGTCACTACACATCTTTATTGCAAGTTTTGAATATCTACTTCTATCAAGAAGACACAAAAATGTAGAATTTATTCGGAAACTAGACTTCAGATACTGCTAATGTAATGATGAATCACCAAGCCATTCCGTATCCTGGACCTTCATCATACCTAGTAAGTTCATCAAACGAGGCACAGCTTCCTGTTTGGTAATGTCTTCCTTTGATCTTCACATTCACATCCCTCGTCTTACCCATGAACTGCCCTGTAGAATATGACCTTGAGAATCTCCAAGCAGAGGCTTCCATAAGCCTTTTGCTTGAGCTAGTGGTAGGATGGTTTTCCTCAAACATGACATTATTTCCTGTTTGGTATTGTTTTCTTTTGGTCTTATCCATCGTCTTAACCATGAAATGTCCAGTAGAATGTGACCTTGAGAATCGCCAAGTTGATGCTTCCATAAACCTCTTGCTTGAACTAGAGGTGGGATAGCTTTCCTTGAAGATCACACCGTTTCTGGATTGGTAATGTTCTCTTTTGGTCTTAACCATGAAATGTCCTGTAGAATGTGACCTTGAGAAGGCTTCAGGAAACCTTTTGCTTGAGCTAGCCGAAGGAGGATTCACTTCTTCATGGTTAAGGTCTTGAATAGTGATCGTAACCGTGTTGTGCATAGACTCATGGCTTCCTGATCCGACCAGTTCCGGGTCTAACTCACACCGGCAAACAGGACAAGTCTTATGTAACTCAAACCAAAGATCAATGCAATTTGAATGAAATCCATGACGACATACAGTTATTAACCTAACGGTGTCTTCATCTGAAAACTCTGACAAGCAGATAGCACATTCGGTACAGTGGTTTTTCATTGTTGCGTATGAGTAAGGGAACACAGGAAAGGACTTGATGATAAATGGGTCTAGGCCTGTGTTTTCAGGGGGAGTGGTGACGTGTATTAGGTCACCGTAGGGTGTTCTTTGAAGGGTCCAAGCTGAGGACAAGCGGCTCAAAAGACATCTCCAGAAGAAGAGAGAGAAGAATCCAGCGACAATGACAAAGAGAAGACCGCCGGTTAAGACTACGGCGATGGGGATGGTGACGGTAGGGAAGACATCAGCATCTGGTAGTGTTGCTGTTGATGCCATTTGAGAGGATTGATACGGCCGGATATGAAAACAATCCGGCTGTAACTAGTTTTGTTGATTGCGTGGGAAAGAAGAAAAGGTTTTTTGTTATGAGAATTGCTTGTGGTGTAAGAAAGTATTGTAATAACTAATAAGTGAGTAGAGAGATGTGAGGAGAAGGAAGTGGCTATGTTAAATATATATCAGTGGCTTTGCTTAGCAATTTGAGCGAGTCTTATGTGACAGTTTAAAACCAAAAATTAGTGTCTTAATGAATATGTTCAAATGTTAAAAATAGCACGAGAGTATATTCAATTTTGTTGTTGTTCTTGTTTTTTTTATGTTTTTTTTTGGGTACATGTCATGTATTCCTGGACTACTTAGCTTTATTCGTTCGGTTGTTAACGTCTAGTTCCATTTTATCCCCAATCACTTTCCCACTTGCTTTGTTAGTTTGATTTTATATCTATGTTGCTTTATTGTTTGCTTATGGCAAGTTATTTCAAACAATCTTTGGTTAGTAGCTCTGTGTATATTATTATTACCATATACTTTCAAGGAATACTTCCTTGATTATTTTGGGGGTCCCTTACCATCCAAAGTTGTGAGTTGTACTAGTTACATTCACTAAAAGGTAAAAACATTGTCCGTAACTTAGACAAATTGTAATTGAAAAGTATCTCAGACTTTACTATATACAAACCATAAGTTGAATACGTCTCCGATCATGTGAATAACAAATGCCATTGGTACGATCCTGAGACCAACTCTACAAGTAATCTCTTAGAAATTAGTCAAAACAAATGTTAGTGTCATTTGCATCAGAATGATAGGATATATCCTAAATAAATTAATTACATATTATGCTTAGATATCTCTAAGAAAGCGAATCCTATGACAAGAGTAGAGACACTATTTGCAAACTTAGGGTTTAAGACTCATTATGATTAATCCCACTTCAGAAAAACAACAAATAAGATGAGGTAACTGCGTCACCAAGATATAAAAAAATGAACGTAATCAACCAAGTGAGCCAACGAGGTATTGGCACGTGTGCAGGGAGAGCGTCACGGACCACGGTGGTGATGGTGGGGCTAAAGTGGACAGTCGTCACTATGACAAACCTCGTGGCATCGCTTACTTTTTTCTCTCACCAAATGACTTTTGTTTCTTCTTCTTTTAATCTGATCATTTTATCAAGTGGACCCATATCAAGTTATGATAATGTAGGAGAGGACACATATATAATTGGCATTAAGTCATAGCTCGACACCTGCAGTTTATTTGGATTTTAGTTCATCAATAATTTGATTGATCTTAGATACGTACACATTGAACCCCCCATGATTGTAAGTTTAACTACTAAGGCCCTGTTCGTTTGTACATCTGAAAGATGCATCCAGATGGTCCATCTAGATGCCTTATCCAGATGCTCCATCTGGATGTTGTTCGTTTCTCTATTTCGTCTATATATCTAGATGAATCATCTAAATGTAACTATGTTCTTTTGTTTTTTTCAACTTGCATCTGCATCCAGATGGATTTGTTAATAAAATGAATAAA